GAGGAACTTGATGATGGTTTATGATTTGAAATATGAAGCGATTGTGCTTGTCTAGGTACCGATCTCAGTGTGTAACGTGTAGAATCGACGATTTTGATGTATTCTCACATTTCAAATTTCAAACTGCGGGCATTACCAATTTCACGATAAACCAGTCACTGATGGGATGCATCTTTTGGATTCGAATACTGCTTAGGTGGAAACGGGAGAAGAAATTCACTTGAAATCGAGTGCTTTATTGGTATTGTTGAAGATGTCGAGCAGGCGATCATGTCAGAATGTATCTGTAGCATGAAATATCAAGATGAAATTTGTATCAAACATGTAATTAGATATTGATTTATTGATAAAATCAATTAGAAAGTATTCTTTCATTCGTTTGAATCGTTTCATTGATTCGTTCAGATGTGTCTCGTAGTGGATTGTGTTGAACGTTGTGTTAAATTGGTGAATAATGATCATGATAATCCCAAGTATTGTTTACTTCAGAAATTAACAGGTATGATGCGTTTATTCATTGAGTTGTTCATTTTGAGTTGATTCAGTGAACAATGAGTTGTCGTTACATGCACTCATGATTTATCGTTTGATATCATTATCACTGTTCTTTTCGGTTAACGTCTTTCTAATAGTGTTTATATGATATGCTGAGTCGGCCTTTTCGAATTCTTAATCAGCGCGCTGTTTGCTTTGCAAAAGTTGGACTGAAGTTATGAGTAAAATTTAATTACATTGCTTTCATTCTTTGTATCTTATTCAGTTATATTGTGCACTTTCAACTTATTTTATTATTCAGAGAAACAATTGAGTACGTTTGGAGTATTGTTATCGAAGTGGGAACTGGAAGATGATGATTATATACGTGAGTAATAATTTAAATAATTTTTTTGAGGACTTATTTTCAATTGTACAATCGATGTATATCCGGTATTCTCTTTAATGGAGATGTTGAAGTTTCTATTTCTCATGATCCTCCAAGCGGACTCGAATTCAAAAGATTATTTTTCGTGTATCGTTGTTGTAAGGTTTGATGCGTACCCTCAACGGAATTATATAGAGAATAATTGGATTGTATTTAAGAATGTTCAGTTTTCAGTAGAGAGACGTTTGAATTTAAGCAGAGGCATGTGTTCTGCGGGATATTGTGCATGCATAAATCTTACTGATTTAGCTGATTCATTGCGTTTGTAGTTGAATAATTTGAAATGTTGATAAGTCAGCAGTTCTTTTTTAATTTCGTGTTGATGAATGAGTTTTAGATT